AACGAAACCAGTGTTTTAGGACCTAAAAATATTGATATTTGGTTTGATTAGAAATATTTTATAATAAACACATATTACCTTATGGTATGGGCAAACCTCATGCACATAGAAACATCAGCTATAGCACTTAAGTCTTTTTTAATAAAAATATATAGACCAGGAAATCTTCGTCTAGCAGTTTATCGACAATTTATTTTAACATATAACTAGCTCAACCCGCTTCCCCGTTTGATTTTACATGTGAATGTTTGGTAATTTTTGAATAAAAAGAAAACAAATATAAAAAACGAATTTATTGTAATCATCTGGGATAGTAAATATATTTTTTTTTCATTCTGGAGCATAAACTAACAAATCGATCTTTATACCAACGCGTGAATATGCCAGGTGCAGGCAACCATGAGAAAATCAGGATCATGCTAAATTTAGTACGCATACAAAAAAAGTTTATCCTTGAGATTTATTAATTTTCCTTTTCAAATCCAATACATACTGCAAAAAGCAATATTTTAAAGTTGAACGGCATTAGAGGGTGGATTCAAGGTAGTAATCGATCTGAACCTACTACTTCCACGTAATTGTCGTCGATTCAATCAAATTGTTGTATTTTTTACTGTTACCATTGAAAAAGGGTGGTGGATTTATTAATGAAAATAAAATAACATCCAAATCTGTACCGATTAATATAATTTGACAAACTTATTTTTAAAAATTAAAATTCCGTCTTCCACCCACTTCATTGAAATTTGAAATACATAGCATGTTTGGTGCATCATATACACAAAATCGACCAAAGTGTATATAGGAGATATATCCAAATCTGAAAATTTCAATATAATGAACAAATTTATTTGTAGAACAAATTCTGTCACATATTCTAAGTAATAATAATATATATCCAATTATGAACCGATTTCAATTAAAACTTAAACATATATTTTTGTTCCAAATTTCTGCAATCATTCCGAATTTTATTGCAAATCGGACATACATGTAGTGTTTGGTGCATCAGGCCGAAAATATTCATGGAAGCTAAATCCAAATCTGAACAGATTTAAAATTTATTCCATTACATGTTCCAAATCAATAGATATTTGCATACGAAATCTAACTTTTTTTGAGGTACCTCTGATTCTGATGCTATATCTCAGCTTCCAATTTAAATTTGAAAAATGTATATGGCCTTTATTTTTTTTTTTCAAGCGATGCTGTGTATATTTAGAAATTAGCAAGAAAATCTGTTTAGAGGTTTTTAAGTTTATAAACTTTAAGAAACAATTAAACGTACAAACGTTTTACTCTTTTATAGACATAAATGATTGTGATAAGATGAAAGCATTTAAGACATTTTGTAACATATGAAAGGAAACGAAGTATGTAGGTACATATTTACCTGGAAGTAGATACCACAAATATCCTCCACCTATACTATAGAGGGAATATTAACTTGGTCATTCCGTAATTCCTTAAAATACCAGAAACATTTATACTATAAAAAACTACTTATTTTCCATAACAATTCGTTATTTAGATTTAGTATTGTGTAACGTGGTTTTCTCGTCGGCTGAGGTAAGCTCAGCTGTATCCAGGGTCTCCATAAGGACCCACTAAACCTTATGAAATAATAAGAGTAGATACCTCATTTTCCTGGGGAGATGTTTTATTGATCTTTAATTCTAAATTACAATCTACTCGGGTTGGAATACGATAAGATAAATATGGAATATAGGATGGCAAGTGGACTTTGGAGATGTTCGTGATTTCAAGGTACTGATGCTCAGTTGATGATCGGGGATTCGATGGTTACTCGTGTCGTAGGCAGAAGGGTGTACGACTCGTGGACAATAGAGAACGATGATGTCGGGTGCACACAATGAATACTCGGGTGGTTGATGTGAGGTGTGATTAGTCGACGACTTGAAGGCGATCGGATATTCGGGGATGAGCGTCGGAGGTTGGTTGCTGGGAAGATCGGGAATTACGGTGTTGCGTTCGGGTGACGCTTACGTTGACGATTTGAAGGTAATTGGGAACTTGTGTTCGTCGGTTGTCGACGATCAGGAATTACAATGATTGTGTTCGGATGATGCGTTCTGTTGACGGTAATCGGGAACTTGTAGTCTTCGGTTGTCGACGATCGGGAATTACGATGATTGTGTTCGAGTGATGACTGTTGTTGACGATTTGAAGGTAATCGGGAACTTGTGGTCATGGGTTGTCGACGGTAAGGAATTAGGATGATTGTGTTCGGGTGTTGCCTTCTGTTGACGATTTGACGGTAATCGGGAACTTGTAGTCTTCGGTTGTCGACGATCGGGAATTACGATGATTGTGTTCGGGTGATGACTGTTGTTGACGATTTGAAGGTAATCGGGAACTTGTGGTCGTCGACGATCAGGAATTACGATGATTGTGTTCGGGTGATGCGTTCTGTTGACGATTTGACGGTAATCGGGAACTTGTAGTCTTCGGTTGTCGACGATTGGGAATTACGATGATTGTGTTCGGGTGATGACTGTTGTTGACGATTTGAAGGTAAACGGCAACTTGTGGTCGTCGGTCGTCGACGATCAGGAATTACGATGATTGTGTTCGGGTTCTGTTGACGATTTGACGGTAATCGGGAGCAGCTGTCCAGGTCTTCGTGAGCGGATTTCGTACTGGTTCGGCAGCTCGTTGATGGTAGATTCGGCAAACAATGCGTTGGACGGGTCTCGTTTGTGTAGATGGATCGGGGCTCGTTCGTGTTCGGCAGCTCGTTGAGGGTAGATTCGGCAACCGATGCGTTACGCTGTGAAGGTGGATCGTGGCTCGTTCGGCAGCTCGGGTTCTTGTTATTCGGGTCGACTACAGGCGCGAGGTGACTAGCCTAGCTACGATTCTCTAACTACGTCTACTCCACAACCCACGTTTGACTATAATACGGAACAGCGAGCCGAAACCCCTGTGGAACAGCGATCCGAAACTCCTGTGGAACTGCGAGCCGAAGCTCCTGTGGAACAGCGAACCGAAGTTCCTGTGGAACAGCGAGCCGAAACTCCTGTGGAACAGCGAGCCGAAACTCCTGTGGAACAGCGAACCGAAGTTCCTGTGGAACAGCGAGCCGAAACTCCTGTGGAACAGCGAGCCGAAGCTCCTGTGGAACAGCGAGCCGAAACTCCTGTGGAACAGCGAACCGAAGTTCCTGTGGAACAGCGAGCCGAAGCTCTTGTGGAACAGCGAGCCGAAACCCCTGTGGAACAGCGAGCCGAAACTCCTGTGGAACAGCGAGCCGAAACTCCTGTGGAACAGCGAGCCGAAACTCCTGTGGAACAGCGAGCCGAAACTCCTGTGGAACTGCGAACCGAAGTTCCTGTGGAACAGCGAGCCGAAACTCCTGTGGAACAGCGAGCCTAAACTCCTGTTGAACAGCGAGCCGAAACTCATGTGGAACAGCGAGCCGAAGCTCCTGTGGAACAGCGAGCCGAGGCTCCTGTGGAACAGCGAGCCGAAACTTCTGTGGAACAGCGAGCCGAAGCTCCTGTGGAACAGCGAGCCGAAACTCCTGTGGAACAGCGAGCCGAAACTCCTGTGTAAATGAATTACCAGCCACTCAAATTAATGAGAGCCAGACTTGGAAAATTATTCCCGACTAACGCTTTTATTAGTCGGAGGACGGCTGATGATCTTTAGAAAATCACTAGCTACCCTTTGGCAAGCTCCTGCAGTAGTGAGCCTTGCTTTATCGCACTTCAAACCGAACACTATATGTGACCGGTTTTACCAAGTCATTGCGAATTTTTAGCCTTATGCTGTGAACAGCACACCACAGAAAACTACTTTGTTCACCACGCGCCCAATGAATGCTGCGTTTGCTGGCTAGTTCTGTTGTCGCCTTGTTGACTGCGTATGACCGAGTTGTGTGTGCATGGTGGTGGTGGTTGGTTGGTGCTGTTAGCGTCGCACTTGCAGTGGCCGCTGTTATTGTTCATTGTGTAATAGGTGCGGTTGTCTGTTCGTATAAATGTAGGTGATGAAATCAGCACGTTACATCCCCCCCTGCTTAGGAAAGAGAATTTTCACGAAACGCATATATATACATTTACACGCATATATATACTTTTTTTTATTCATTTCATTTGTTTTTCCTTTTGATTTTTTTGTATTTATTTTATTTTATTTTTTTTATTTATTTATTTATTATTATTATTAACTTTTTGTTTTTCCATTCATATTTCTTAAACTAAAATAATCCAGTATAGTGTAATGATAAAATTGAATGTTGTAGGACTTAAAAAAAATGTTTTTGTATAAAATTCTTGTCGTAGACATCTCAGCCTTGCTCGGTCTTTGCTGAGCATAGTCACCTGCACCCTTGGTCGACCCGGCCGCTTTATGACATACTGCAAGTGCTTGCATGTCTTCTTCGGACGACGAACCCGTATCGATTGTAGGTACCCCATGACGTCGAAGTTGGGCCCTCCATGATCTGGCGCCTCGGGTTCTGCGTCGATGTTCGGAAGATGCCTATTAAGCTTCGTCGGCTGCGTATGGGCTCCTTTGTCTTGCGTAGGGTTGGTCGCTCTGCCCGGCACTTTAGACTTTATATTTTCTGTGGCACGATCCGCTGCCTTCTCCCGAAGATTAGATGCCTTAGCAGATGTAATAGCTGCGTTCGGGAGCTTTGCTGCTACTTGCTCGTTTGATGTCGCGAGGCTTCTATAAGGGATAGCGGTGGTGGTTCCACAAAACGAACCGAACGGGCCGGAGTAAGTGTGGCGAGAGGTTCGGGTGGCGGTACCAACTGAATGTTGGCCGTCACTCGTGGCCGTGCTTCTGGAGGTGGAATAAAGGCCTTTGGTGGTGCCGCGGCTGGATGGCGTTTGGTGGGAGGCTTTGATGGTCTGGTTGACTTACGCTCCATGATGTTGTCACTTCTAGAGTTCGTTGCAGACTGATGAACGAGGATGGTGGTGCACGGCATTTATAGCAAAATTTTCTACTCTCCCAAATTTTTTTTATTATATTTGGTACACGTTTTTAAGATCCTGTATATGCACCTTTATTTTACGTTCTTTATCATCGATTATTTCTACGATGTTACCATGGATTATGCCGGTAACCGTGTACGGCCCCGAAAACTTCTCTGCCAACTTATGGGTGAATTTTTCCACTGCCGATGATTGTGGTCTCTCCCTACGCCATACCAAGAATCTTATAGGGGGAGTCCATTTCTTCCGTCTTAAGCTGTAATGGTGACGTTGCCTTTCCGATGATTTTTCGTTGTTTTCCTTCGCCTTTTTCCAAATCTCTTTCCAATTATCCCCTCCCAGAGGGGAGAACATCGGGTGCTCGGTATAATTCGTACCACTGTTCGCCAGATTGCGACCAAAAAGGATTTCTGCTGCTGCGGACTTTGTAGATTCGTGAACAGATGTATTCACAGCGAACGCAATTTCGGGAAGGTGTTGATCCCAATGCCGATGATTGCCACCTACGTACTGCGCAATCATTGTTTTGATTATACGATTTGTTCGCTCGCTCGGGTTCTTGTTCGGAGAATAGTATGCTGTTGTCTGGTGTTCTATATGGTGAGCTTGTAAGAATTCTTTTACTCCTTTGCTCGTAAATTGGGGACCAACATCGCTCACAAATTTCCTCGGGCAGTCAAAACGATATACTACTCTCTCTTTTAAAGCTCGGATGACTTCGTTCGCGGTGGCTTGTCGTGACGGTATTAGTTCTACCCATTTACTAAATTTATCCACGATTACCAGCAGCGAAGTGTTTCCCTTCGTTGAACGAGGAAGGGGTCCCACATAATCAGCACAAACGACCTCCCATGGTGAGTGGCACTGTATGGTTTCCATATGCCCTCGTGGCGCAGCTTGACTCGGCTTGCACCTCGCGCAGACTTCGCAGCCTCTTACATAGGTTCTGACGTCCCGAGCCATCCCAGGCCAATAATAATTTTCCCGAAGCCTTTTTAGTGTTTTGAAAACTCCTAGATGGCCTGCTGTGATGGCGTCGTGGTGTTTCTGGAGGAGCGGGTTGCGGTCTTCCAAGGGGACACATTTCTTCCATTCCGGGCGGGGATCGACCGTACAGCTTCGCGGCATGTGTTTGTACAGACGCCCTTCAATTATCCGAAGATCCGGATGTTTCTTAGGGCTGGTTTCAATAGCCTTTGTAAGTCGATTATACCAATCAACCGAACTAATCAACATCAATCCGTTGGCTTCGCTTGTGGGTAAAGGGCTCCGAGAAAGGGCGTCGGCTACGACATTAAGGCTCCCTTTTCGATACTCGATGTCAAAGTCATGCTGTTGTAATTCCAGGGACCATTGCGCCAGCCTTCCCGATGGATTTTGTAACGAGTGCAACCACTTTAAAGAATGGTTATCGGTTATGACCGTAAAGTGGTACCCCTCGAGGTAGGGTCTCATTTTCCTAATTCCCCAGAGGATTGCAAGACACTCCTTTTCTGTCGTTGAATACTTCCTTTCTAAGTCCGACAGGGTCCTACTCGCGTAAGCCACAACCGCCTCGTGATCGTCATGTCGTTGGAACAATACCGCCCCCAATCCCTCCTGACTTGCGTCGGTTTGGAGAATAAAAGGGTGGGTGAAATCGGGGCAACATAACACCGGAGCCTCGGTAAGTACCTGCTTCAGCTTGTCGAACGATGACTTTTGTTCGGCTTCCCAAGTCCATTTAATCCCTTTTTTTAGCAAGGTGTTAAGAGGGCCGACAAGGGTCGAGAAATTCGGCACAAACCGTCTGTACCACGACGCCACCCCGAGGATTCGACGAAGTTCTTTTAGGTTGGTGGGGGCGGGAAGATTCCTCACCGCTTCGACCTTCTCTGGATCGGTTCGGATTCCCTCTGGTGTAACTACGTGGCCCAAATATCTGATGCTTGTTCGTACGAAATTACATTTCTCGAAGTTAATGCGCATCTCGGCTCCCTCGAGTCGCCGTAACACTTCGTCCAATACTCGTAGGTGCTCGGTAAAGTTTCGGCCCAAGACGATGATATCGTCTAGATAAACAAAAACTAAAGGATGGAGATCGGCCTCGATTATCGAGTCGAGTGTCCGCTGGAATGTTGCCGGGGCGGAATGTAAGCCGAACGGCATTACTTTCCACTGAAACAGACCCCGACCGGGAACGGTGAATGCCGTGTAAGGTCTGGAGGCCTTCTCTAAGGGTATCTGCCAATATCCACTTTTGAGATCGATAGAGGAAATAAATCGGGCCTCCTTCAGCTGATCCAAAATTGCATTTATCTGTGGTAGTGGGTATGCGTCGGGTTCGCTGGCCGCCTTCAGTTGACGGTAATCGATGCACATCCTCCATCCCCCGAGCTTCTTTCGCGCTAACACGATTGGCGAGCTATAGGGACTATGGGAAGCTTCGATCTTGTCTTCGGCGAGCAATGTGTCTATTTCTTCGTTTATGATCGCCATCATTGCCGGATTCCGAGGCATATATCGTTGTTTAATTGGTTTATCGTGTTTGAGTCGGATGCGGTTTTCACATCTGTTACACAGGCCCTTACTTTTCTCAAATGCTTCTTGATGGTATTGTAGTAAGCTCTCCAGTTCTTTGTTCTCTTCGCAGGACAAAAATTCTCTAATAGTCAGGCTGTGGAGATAATGTAACGCGGAGCGGTCGCTGATCTCCGTCTTAGGGACAATCTTCCCATCTAAGACGATATCTAATCCTCGTTTTAGCAGAAAGTCCATTCCCAGCACGACGGGTTCAGCCAAGGTAGGTAGCACTGTCGCCTCAACGGCAGTTGCCTCGTTATTAAATGTAATTGTCACCGGATACACTTTTCCGCAGATGGCCATTTGTTGGTCGGCAAGCTGCACTTTTCGGGTTACCGCGATCGGTTTAACGCTTTCTATATCCAAGAATTTACCGACCGATCTATCGACGTAGGTGAGCGAAGCTCCGGTATACACGAGAGCCCACAACCTCCTTCCATTGAGGGAGACCCAAATGTAGTACCTCCCATGATGATCGGTGTCGATGGTCGGGTTTACTTGGCACTCGCAATCTCGGGTCAGAATACCTTCCTTTCCACAATGCGAACAAAACAATTTCCTCTTCCCTTGGCATGTGTAGCGTGTATGACCCTTCTTTTTGCATCGCCAACAATGCGTTAACCTATTATATCCTTCCGAAGTCTGGGATACCATGTGGGAGGTATGTGAACGTTCCACACGAGCCTCGTCTTTCTTTAAAAGCTCGAAGTCGTCCACCAAAGACAATAATTCGTCCAAGGTCTGGAAGTCATTCCGACGAACGTAATGACGGTATTCGGGTCGAAGGCCGTCGTAAATCCGATCTAGGTGGTCCATTAGTCGTAGGGTAGGATGTTGCTTTGCCATGGTCAGCATTTGAAGTATGAAATCCTTGGCTTTTTTCCGATTGAAATGTCGCCGGTTATAGAATGAGTGTTCAAGTTGTGTTAAATGCCGTTTCGAAAAGAAAATTTTTTCGGCCTCAGTTCGGAACGACTTCCAGGTCGTGATATCCCCCTTCTTGACTCTGTACCATTTGAGTGCGTTACCTTCCAGGATACAGGGCAGGGTGGATACGAGTCCGTCGTGGGGTATTCGGTAGCACTCGGCCAACTCCTCTAGTCTTTCCAAAAACTCGGATAGATCTCCTTTGCCTGTAAATTTTAAGTTTCATCGCTGTACCATACTCATGGTCTCGGAATCACAACTCTCCCGGCGAGGAGGTCGTTCGGCAATCTGCAGACACTCTTGAGTGACGACTGTTTTTTCTTCTGCCTTGAGCTCATTTTCCAAATCCCGTAATAAATTCTCGGTCGAACTCCTCAATCGCTTTTTCCTCACGAAGTCCGCCAGTTGCCTCCTTAGGTACTCGACAGTATATCCTTCTGTCTGTATACTTGCCGCCTGGCACTGTTCTATAAGTTGTTCTTTTTTCAGCAGATAGATTCATCCTAGGGATTCGGGTTTCAATTTCTTATCGCATTTCCGACTTGACTCGTCCTCGTTGGCGGATGTTTCGGTTTTGCCGCAGTGCGATTTCGAATCAGGTCCCTGCTCGGGCGCCATTTGTAACGTGGTTTTCTCGTCGGCTGAGGTAAGCTCAGCTGTATCCAGGGTCTCCATAAGGACCCACTAAACCTTATGAAATAATAAGAGTAGATTTCTCCCTTTCCTGGGGGTAAAAATCGGATGTTTTATTGATCTTTAATTCTAAATTACAATCTTCTCGGGTTGGAATACGATAAGATAAATATGGAATATAGGATGGCAAGTGGACTTCGGAGATGTTCGTGATTTCAAGGTACTGATGCTCAGTTGATGATCGGGGATTCGATGGTTACTCGTGTCGTAGGCAGAAGGGTGTACGACTCGTGGACAATAGAGAACGATGATGTCGGGTGCACACAATGAATACTCGGGTGGTTGATGTGAGGTGTGATTAGTCGACGACTTGAAGGCGATCGGATACTCGGGGATGAGCATCGGAGGTTGGTTGCTGGGAAGATCGGGAATTACGGTGTTGCGTTCGGGTGACGCTTACGTTGACGATTTGAAGGTAATTGGGAACTTGTGTTCGTCGGTTGTCGACGATCAGGAATTACAATGATTGTGTTCGGATGATGCGTTCTGTTGACGGTAATCGGGAACTTGTAGTCTTCGGTTGTCGACGATCGGGAATTACGATGATTGTGTTCGGGTGATGACTGTTGTTGACGATTTGAAAGTAATCGGGAACTTGTGGTCGTCGGTTGTCTACGATCAGAAATTACGATGATTGTGTTCGGGTGATGCGTTCTGTTGACGATTTGACGGTAATCGGGAACTTGTAGTCTTCGTTTGTCGACGATCGGGAATTACGATGATTGTGTTCGGGTGATGACTGTTGTTGACGATTTGAAGGTAATCGGGAACTTGTGGTCGTCGGTTGTCGACGATCAGGAGGAACCTCAATGGCAACTCTTGTCGTGTTTAGTTGTGTTTTATTTGTGTCAAAATAGTGATAAAATAATTTTAGATATATTATTATTTATTGTTCTTTTTGTGCAGTGAAATACTATCAGTTCTTACTAATATAACGAAATTATACGTGCAGTGTGAAGTTCAGTGTTTAAATACGGTATTTTACAAAATAATTAAAACAAATTGTGACTGTTTTTGCGCCTTCTCATATTTTTGTTTTACTTTTGCTGTTTACGTCTGTTTCGCTTTTTTCTCCCTTGTGCCTTGTTCTTGTTTTGTTTTTCAATCCCAAATTCTAAATTTTATATTCACAATCTAAAGCATACTTTGAGGCATTAGAATAATTTTTTGAAGTTTTGCACAATGGCCTGTTTATACAAAAATTGTAAAATTACTAATGAAAATGAACGCTTTATTACTTGTTGGCTATGTGAAAATCATGGTCACTTTAAATGTGCGGGTTTTACTGGTAGACAATTTGATGTAATAACTGATAGAAAAAATGGACTTCGCTGGGCGTG